CCACCAGGGAAGTCCTGGCATCATTGTTTTGATTTACATTTTCATGGTGACATAAGATACGGAACATCTTTTCAAATGCTTATTTGCCATGTGTATGTTTTCTTTGGTGAGGTGTCTGTTAAGGTCTTTGGCTCATTTAAAAAATTGAGTTTTCTTATTGTTGGATTTTAAGTGTTCTTTGTATATTTTGGAGAATAGGCCTGCTTTAGATATGTCTTTCGCAAATATTTTCTCCCAGTCTGTGGTTTGTCTTTTTATTCTCTTGACAGTGTCTTTTGCAGAGCAGAAAATTTAATTTTAATGAAGTTCAGCTTATCAGTGATTTCTTTCATAGTTCATGCCTTTGGTGTTGTATCTAAAAAGTCATCACCAAACCTAAGGCCATCTAGATTTTCTCCTATGTTATCTTCTAGGAGTTTTATAGTTTTGCATTTTACATTTAGGGCTGTGATCCACCTTGGGTTAATTTTTGTGAGTGGGGGTGTAAGGTCTGTGTCTAGATTCACTTTTTTGCATGTGGATGTCCAGTTGTTCGTGTACCATTTGTTGAAAAGACTACCTTTGCTCCATTATATTCCTTTGCTCCTTCATCAAAGATCAGTTGGCTGTGTTCATTTCCAGGCTCTTTATTCTGTTGCATTGATCTATTTGTCTATTCTCTCACCAATACCACACTGTCTCAATTACTGTAGCTTTATAGTAAACTTTGAAGTTGGGTAGTGTCAGTCCTCCAACTTTGTTCTTCTCCTTCAATATTGTGTTGGTTATTCTGGGTCTTTTACCTCTCCCTATACACTTTAGAATCAGTTTGTTGATACCCACAAAATACCTTGCTGGGATTTTGCTTGGGATGCATTGAATCTATAGATCGAGTTGGGAAGAACTGACGTCTTGACAATACTGAGAACTACTAGTGTGTTCAGCCCTAAACTTAGTCCTGGGAGGTAGGAAACTCGACTGGAGTACACAAGAGCACAGGACAGGCTCCCCATAGTGTTGGCAATGAAACCGCACCTCGCACAGTTCTAGGCATACAGGCAGTGCTCAATACGGTCACTGGAGCGATGAATGAAGCTGAATCCCAAAGCGCCTGGGAACAGGGCAGTAAGGTGGCCATTCCATGCTATGATGGTTAGCAAAGACTCCCATCCTTCAGAGGAAAGGCCTGGTCTCAGGGAAAACTTTGTGGCAAAGGTACTGTTGAGAAGGACACTGGCCAGAAAGATTGCTCTGCACAAGGCTCTTGGGCTTACTAGGTGGCTGTATTGATAGGTTAATTCACTGCCTTATTGATTCATTGATTTGTTGAATAAATATTTGTTAAGAATAAATATTTGTTAAGAATCTACTATGAACTCAGGGATCTCCCCATCTAAGATGTCCAGCTGCCCCCTGCAGTTCAAGCAGGACTTCTGTACATGTTTTCTGATGGCTTGATAACTATGGGCTGGGCCTCAGAGCATGGTAGAGGGGCCTTGTATCTCAGCCAGGGATGGCTGTGGCTGTTTTCTGTTTTAAGGCTAGTTTCTCAACAGGGAGGGAAGTGTCATGCTGTTGACGAAGGTGGTCTCAAGTTTAGGGGAGCCTGGCTTGGCCTAGATGAACTCCACTCTTGCCTGCCTGGTGGGGGACCATCCCTGTGGCTCGTTCTGGGCTCAGTCTCCAGGGGCTCGGGGAAGGAAGAAAGGAGGTTCTCAGTCAAATATTTTATTATTTTATCAACATGGAGACGCTTCAAGACTTGAACTGATCTGGGAGCTGTGGAGAGTGAGAAAGAAGGGGAAGGGAGAGGTGAGCCAGCAGGAGGAGACCAAGCAAGGAGCAACAAGGGCAGAGAGACAGCAGGAGAGAAAGTGATGGGGATGGAGAGAAGCAGGGAAGGGCAGGGAGAAGGGGAGAAAGACAAAAGGAGGGAGGGAGAGGGGGAGGGTGGGAGGAAGAGGGAGAGAGAGAAGGGAGCCAACCAGAAGGGAGAGAAACGAGGGAGAGAGAAGGGGGGACTGGGAGCTGTTGCTGAAAGAGCCTCGGTTCCACACTGAGTCCCTGCCTGGGGTCCTTCCTCTCCTGCACGTTGGTGTGAGAGCTCACAGCACCCTCACGGACACATGTGTACACACAGCCAAACACAACGCACTGACACCCACCCCCTTGGGCAGCGCCTTCAGAATCTACACTGCTGGGGAGGTGGGGTTGCCACGGTGACAGGTGCTGGAGCACCACCTTATGGGTATTAATAGCTTCCATTGAAGCCACCAAAACAGTGACTTCATCCAGCCAGCCGTTTCCCTGGCTGGTTCCTTCTCCCTCCTCCCTTCTTGATTGGGGCTGGGAAGGGCCCTCGGCCGCACAGGCCGCTTCCCCGCCTCCTGGCAGCCACCTTGGTGAAGGATGGCTTGAAGGCCTCAGGGATTCCATCCAAGGTCCAGCAGGAGGGGTGTGCTGCGGTTCTTTGCTCCTCTGAGCTGGGTCTAACCACCGCCCCTGCCAGGAAAGGGTTTCTGAGGCACAGGACCTGTCAGAGGGGTCAGCCTCAGCTGCTCTGGGTCCCATGCAGCCACACCTACCTCCTCTAGGTCCCTGCCTGGCCAGAGACTTCCAGCCAGTTGCCACTTGACAGTGGTGTCCCCTCCCACAGCACAGAACTCCTGGGAAAATCAAGGGCCAGTCTAGGGAGGTGACATGGGGTACAAGATTTCAGAGGCATCACGCTTGAGCTCGAGCAAGTGCAGGGTTGGTGTCGCACGATGCTGAGAGCCAGTGCCTCCTTACATTTCACACCAGGGAGGCCTCCCTTGTCTCACCCTAATCCCAGCCCTGTTGATACTCTCATTGTCTCCTCAACCCTCTGGGATCAGGGGACATTTCTGTCCTGCCCTCAGTTCCTTGCCTTGGTCCCTAATGCCTCTCACCTTCCTGTGCGGCTCCCCCGGATCAGCCTGTCCTGAGCTGCAGAGCCTCTGGACTCTTCAGGCAGGCACCGGTGTCTGGTCCCCTCATTTCCCCTTCCCTTTGAGCTCCTCCGTCTCTCCCCTGCTTGGCCCACAGCCCCAAGTTTAGACCACATGGGGCCTGTGACCTCCCTGCCATCCTCTACCTTCGGGGCCTCACCCCACCCCCATCCCTGGCCTATGCCCCAGCCCCTCCTCCTGAGGAAGGGAAGGAGGCGATGAGCCTCCGCGCAAGCCACTGTCGGCAAATCCTACCAAGGGCTTGCACTTGGCCCACACTCCGGGGGAATTAGTCTCATCTATACAGAGTTTTCAGATTTATTCCGATGCCAGCAGTAGCCCACAGTGACCTCATTTCAGCAGACTTCAGGGGGTATATGAGTGCAAGAGAGTGTGTGTGCGCTTGTGTAGAAGTGAGTGTGTGAGAGAGTGTAGAGGTGTGTGTGCAAATGTGTGAGTGTGCTGCCATTCAGAGCCCATGGATTTCTGATGCATGAGTCATCGGCTGGAGTGAGCCTCGGGGAGATACGCCCATAAAAAGACAGCACCCCTGACCTGCCACGTCCATTCTGCAGCTGGCTGGGCACATGATCTTGGGCATCTAAGAGGCTGGGGGCAGGGGTGGGGGCTGTCTTTCCCTCCAGACCCCAGAGAGCAGCTGTCAAGGATATTTCTAGCTCGCCTGGAGTCCCAGGCATTTAAGGATGTGATGCCTGCAATGGGGTGAGGGTGGAGGGCGGGGCAGGGAGAAAATGGTGGTTCAGAGGCTTTCCTCCCAGGGCTCTCGGTGGAGTTCTGCTGGCAGGCAGGGCGATTCACCCATTCCACAAGCATTTTTGGACAGTCTGTCATGTGCTAGGCATAATCCTGGGGACTGGTGACATCATGGTGAATGGAGTTGTCCTGTTCTCTCCCCTCACAGAGCTTATGTTCTAGTGGGGGAGGCACAACAGAAACCAGGGGGAAAGGCTACTTTCAAACTAATTCCAGAAGATAACATAGAGTAATGCTATGGAACATGACTGAGAATGGTGAGGGTTCTCTAGCTGGGGCGGGCAGTCAGGGAAGGTCAGGAGGTGACACAAGAACTGTGCCTGAATATTGAGGAGCTGTCATATGGAGACTTGAGGAAAGAACCTTCCAGAAGAGGATGGACGAGATGCCTGATGCCAGCCCACGTCCTCGCTGGATTCTGGATCAGAGTTGCTGTAGCGAGTCAGGGAGCTAGAGGTGATCTAGAGGAACAGGAAGGCAGATTCTCTGTCCTGGGGGGAACCTGTCTCACCTTCTAGCCCTGATAAGACAGGCAGAAGGAGATGCCCCCATGTCTAAGTAGGAGGAGAATGATTCCCTTTCCCTTCCTGCAGGTCCTTGGTAGCAGTGCTGAGCTCCAGGATGGGTGAGTCATGTGAACAGGTGATATGCTGAAGACCCCTTCCTCCAGGAAGCCTTCGTTGACTGCTGCAGGCCACAGAGGCCCCCACCTCTGAGAGCTGACAGAGACACTTGGTTCAGATTTGGTGGTTCTCTGACGGTTTGTCCCTGAGATTTGTTCCTGCACCTTGGCCCTCCATCCCACCTCCTAGGTCCAGTCTGTGTTCATCTAAAGGCCCCCCAACGCTATGTGTCCAGTAACTGAACAGCCTGGTGTTCTTGTACTGAGCCTTTGTCCCAGCGCCCCTTGGATCTGACTGAGAGCGAAGGGTCAAGCGCTGGGATTCCTCATCTCACTTCATTTATTCAGTCATCCATCCACTCCATAAAAATTCTTTTTTCTGGAGTTTTACTATGTGCCAGGCGCTGAACCTGGTGCTAGAGAAATTGGAACTTAGGGCTACCTCGCCCCGGGCCTGGCACCCAGGGAACTCACCAATCTTGCTGTACAGTTTCTCTTGTTTTCAGGACCAAGTTCCACTGTTGGTGAGAGGAATAAACCCAACCCCTGGAGCCTCAATCTCTGCCGGATATTTGACCCCAACTCGGGCCCAGGGACCGCCCCCCCCGCCCCCCTCGGGCCGCGGAGGACTAGTGGCAGACGGGAACGCGGCGCACCGGGGGCCACATCTGGCTGAGCGGGCGCGCGCGTGTCACTAAGACGCTCATTCACCGGCGCAGCTGTCACCATAACAACCGGAGCGAGGGAATCCTGGCGACTGCTGGGGGCGGGGGCGGCGGTTGCGCGAGGGACCCCGCGGGGGCTGGAGCGTGGCGGCCCTGGGAGACCCACCACCGCGGCAGCGCCCAGCACACCCCGCGCTCCTCGGAGCCCCGCTCCATGCCGAGCCGCCGGCGGGAGGGCGCCACTCACGTTGCAGCCTCGGCCGTCCCCGCGGGCGGGGACCCAGCCGGCGCCGAGCCGCCGAGACTCCGGGCAGGCCGAGCCGCTGAGCGCCCGCTCCGGGGGCCCTGACTCTATGGCCCCGGGGGAGCGCGCCGGAGCCACCGCGCCGCCCGCTACCAGCCAGAACCGGAGCGCCAGCGGGAGGAAGAGGGGAGCCCCGGGCGCCGCCAGCCCCGGCCCAGGGGCGCGCCCGCCGCGGAAAATGGCAGGCAGGTAGAGGGCCCCCGCGGCGGGCAGGCCCCGCCGAGGACCGAGGAGCCCGGAGACTGGGAGGAGAGGAGCGGCCTGCCCGCCCCCTGCCGCAGCCCCACCAGGGCCCTCCCCCGGCGGCGCGCGCGCCGGCGCGCGCACACACTTGCACACCGTACCTCCTCTGCTGCTCAGCCTCGCCTGCCCCCCGCGAGCGCCGAACCCCCTGGGGCCGGATGCCATGGGTAACAACTTCTCCAGTATCCCCTCTCTGCCCCGAGGAAACCCGAACCGGGCGCCACGGGGCCACCCCCAAAACATCAAAGGTAAGGCTCCGCCGGGGCCGGGCGCAGCTGGAGGACTGGGGCGCAGGCGGAGGGGCAGGGAGAGGTGGAGAGGTGTGGCTGGCGAGGCCGGGCAGGTGCCACCTGTTGTGCGTATTTGGAGATGGGAGATGCACCTCGGCCATGGAGGTGCGCTGGAGGTGGGGGGCTGCTAGTGATGACGGTGAAAATCAGGGAGGATGGTGTTGCGTGGGGTCTACGCAGTTCTCCCAGCCAGCACCAGAAACGTCACTGGAGTCCCCTCAGGCCATGATGCTAGGCGAGCGTGCAGGGGTGAGGAAGGGCATTTGCCAGGTGGGTAGGGGAGTGTGGCAGGATGCTCAGGCTGGCCAGCTGTGCTTCCCAAGGGAAGCACCATTGTCTCCTTTTTCATCTGCCCATGGCTGGAGAGGTGATGCTGGAAGCACTAGTTGCATTTCCAATTGGAGGGTCTTAAAAATCCAGGACAGATTAACAACAGCCTGGAAGACGGGGGCCAGAGCCGGTGGCCTCTGGAGTCCTCTGCAGCTACTGACTTTTTGTATCCACTGAATCAGGTTGTTTTCTGGTTCCCCAAAGGCTAGATGTCCAGTTGAAACTCTAGAAAGGAGGGCCTGGGAGCCTTGAGACAGAGTAACATTTACCGAGAAGGTCTTTGCCCTCCAAGTCCCTCGACCCACCCAGCACCCTCAGGGAGGCCCCAAGCCCTGTTCTTGGCTTTAACTCTTCAGTGCTGTCTCTGACCTTTGGAAGACACACCTGGGTCCTCCCAGGCCCTCAGAGCCCACAGATTCCCTTCGGGAAGCTCCTTTTCTTTCACCCTCAAAACCAGCCAACACTGAATGGGCATTCTTATGGCTAAGAGTCAGGAAGGGAAGCCCTTGGGCTTTCACAAAGAACAACCCACTTCTTGAGACCCACCCCCAGTGACCCCCAGCTTATGAGAAGGATACCAGTAATGCCCTTTGACAAAGCATTGAAGTTTACAAAGAACTTTCACAAATACCTTTCCAAGTGGGCAAGGAAACTGCTCTGGGGAGTCCTCAGAGCTAATCATGCCCATGTTACAGTTGAGGAGAACGAATGCTTGTTTCACGTTCCCAAAGCCAGAGAGGCAGAACTAGGCTGCAGACCTGTATCTTCTGACTTGGAATTCTGTCCTCTCTTTTGCTGGACAGTTAACCTTCAGGAGTTGGGGAGAGGAGGAGAGGTGGGACCGCCGTCCTGCATTCTAACTCCAACCCTTTCAGAACTTCAGCTCTCACTTGGCTCAGGAAAATCAACGGGTTTGTTGTGTCTTTCTGGAAATTAATATGGCGGTACCTGTCAAGACCTTTTAAAATATCATCTTCATTGACCTTGTGATTCCACCTGAAGAATTGATCCTAAGAAAATGGAAATGCAGGCAGACACTTATGTGCTAGGCCTAGGATGTTCATGGTAGTGTTGTTTATACTAGGAAAACAACCTAAATGCACTGAAATCATGGTGGATCCTCTTGGTGGAGTATTATGCAATCTTTAAAATAGTATTTTTGAAGAATATTTGATCACTTGGGGAAGTGCCCACAGCAGCATAATGACAGTTGTAAAAAGCAGCATACAAAGTTGCGTAGACTGTAAGAGCCCAATTTTGTTAAAATGTTATGAATGCAAAAAAAAAAAATCAGACAGCCTTTGAAAGAAAGTTTCTCAAAGGTTAGCAATTGTTTCCTCTGGGTAATGAGATCACATAAGATTTTTTCTTTTCTTTTTTATATTCTGCTCTTTTCTAAAATTTCTACAATAAACAAGTATTATTTTTTATAATCAGCTGTAAGTATTAGGTGTATGAAGACTGTTTCTGAGCACTGAAAACAGATTTCTAATGATGGAGGAACCCGTGGGTGCCATCCAGTTCAGTGTCCTCCCTTACAAGGGAGAAGAATGAGGGAAAGGGAGAGTGAATTGACCAGCTACTCAGTGGGTCAGTCAAGAGAAGGTGGCAAAGCCAGACTAAGTCCTTCAAGGGCAGGGCTTAGCTGGGGACCAGTGAGTTGACTTGGTGCTTGAATGCTCACCAACTGCCCCAAGAAGGCTGTGCTCCATCCATGACCCTAGGAAGCCCAGCAAAGGCCTCCATAATTGCACCCCTTTTAACCTAAATTGGGATTGTGGGGATGTGAGGTCTCTGTGGCTGGGGTCTTTGGCAAGGGATGGTGAACAGGAGAGGGTCTGAGGCCCTCCCATGTCCCTGCTCCCACCCTAGTCTCCTCCTCTGCCTGAATCCCCACCTATCTGGCCTGGGAAGGCCCCTTTTTGCTGCCTCCCTGGTTTACAGAGATCAGTTCTTATTCAGTGGGAGTAAATGGTGGAGAAATTCTCCCTGCCAGCAGTCTCCCTCCCACTGCCCATCTCCCTTCAGGCTCAGCTTACCAGAATCCACTCTCCTCTGTCCCTAACCACAAACCTAGGTGGCCGTGAGAATTTTGGTTCTGCTCCTTCCAAGCCTGAGATGAAGGATCAGAGCACGCCGTGAAGGCTGCCCATGGGTTCCTTCATCCAGGGTCCCCTTATCCTGCTTCTCAGCCTGACTTTTCCCCATCCTAACAGAGCCATCAATTTTATTCTGTGATTGTTTTAATGTTCACTCCAAGTTCCTTTCTAACTGTATCAGCATTGACCTAGGAGTCTTCTCTGATACATCAGTGGTCATCCAGAATTCCGTCCCCATTTTATTGGTATGACCTTGATACTGGCTGTGATTCCAAGACTGTTCACCCTGAGTTCTCCTGGGACAGCTTTCAGCTCCTGTTCTTATCAGTGTGCATCCAGAAATTTGCTGGTGGGAGGCAGGGAACTCTCGATTTTTTTTCTCCTTCCATAATTGCAATCTATTGATTTCTCACCATTTTAATTAAAACAACTGGAAAGGACCTGGCATAACAGGGACCCTGAGACTCATTAGAGATCTAAGATCGGTCTGGCTGTCAGGCTGACGTGAAATGAGGCTCGTCCATCACCTGTCAGGTGGTAGACTTCGGTCTTCTTCCTGAAGACACACTGACCTCACTCCACTGCTGGTGATTCCCACTGGGGTCTGAACAGTGTTGGTCTAGGAGTGTCCACGGGAGAGGTCCAAGGTATAGCTCTGGGATTAGGACCAACAGACAGTTAGGAGGAGCTGCCATGTGCCTGGGTCAGAGGTGAGGGCTCATGACATCTCTGTAGATTCACAGACTGAAGATCTACTTGATAAGGTAGGACGGAGGGAAGGAATGGAATCAAATGCTAGGTTGGATTGTTGAAATCCCAGATATGTGTGGGCAGAGGTCAGAAATGGGGGGGTCAGGGAAGGATTTGAGCTGGACGTGGAAGGAACTGTAGAAGTTGGATTGATGGCAAGGGGTGCAGCGAGAGTCCTAGGGCGTGGAGAGGAGGGTAGGGCAAGGGACGTGCAGCAAAGGCTTGGAGGTGGGATGAGTGAGTGTGTGTATGTATTCTCAGTGATGGGCACAGGGTGACTGGGGTAGGGGATTCATGTGTCATGGAGACAAATACAGAGAATGAAGATCTTCCTCCTTCCCCATCTCCTTCTGAGTGCCTGCCTGCTTGGTGCTAAGTGTTGGGGGAAAGGTAACTAGGAAAGCCTGTGGGGAGGACGACTCAGTCCTAGTGGTCACCCATAGACGGGGGTTGGATAGGCCACCTCCTATCATTGTTTTTTTTATTGTGGTAAAATTCACACAACATAAAATTCACAATTTTAACGTTTTAAAGTGTACAATTAACAGGCATTTAGTACAGCCACAGTGTTGTGCAGCCACCACCTCTGTCTAGTTCCGGAACATTTCCATCACCCCAAAAGGGAAGCCTGTACCCATGAAGCAGTCACTCCTTATTACTCCCTCCCCTGAATCCCTGGCAACCACCAATCTGCTTTCTGCCTCTAGGCATTTGCCTATACTGGACATTTCATATAGATGGAATCGTACTAGATTTGTTCTTTTGAGTCTGATTTCTTTCACTTAGCGTAATGTTTTCAAGGCTCATCCGTGTTGTGACGTGTATCTTCTTTCCCTTCTGTGGCTGAATAATGTTCCATTATATAGATATGCCACGTTTTGCTGATCCACTTGCCAGTTGATGGATATATATATTTTTTGCGGTACGCGGGCCTCTCACTGTTGTGGGCTCTCCCGTTGCGGAGCACAGGCTCCGGACGCGCAGGCTCAGCGGCCATGGCTCACGGGCCCAGCCGCTCCGCGGCATGTGGGATCTTCCCGGACCGGGGCACGAACCCGTGTCCCCTGCATCGGCAGGCGGACTCCCAACCACTGCGCCACCAGGGAAGCCCTTGATGGATATTTTTGATGGATATTCGGATTGTTCCACCTTTTGGTTATTGGGACTTTTGTGCTGTGAAGATCTGTGTATAAGTTTTTGTTTGAACACCTGTTTTCAGTTCTTTGGGATATATACCAAGGAGTGAACCTTCCATCTTTTCAAAGCTGGTGCTTTTGAATTGGACATTTCACAAAGCCGCTGGTTGTGACAGATGTAGGGAGGTTGTCTCCGTCCAGCTTTGGTTGGGTGTGACACCAGCCAGACACCTGTTGTCTTCAGTCTCTTTTCCATGGTGGCTGAGGCTCCCGGCAGGCAGAGGGAGGAGCTTCTAAGGTTGGCCAAGGAGCTTTGATTCTTTGAGGTGGACCGGTGTGAGCTACAGGAACTTTCTGCAGACCCTGAATCTCCTCACCGCTCCCTGAGGCCAGGGGTGGGGGATGCATTCTCCTAGGACAAGGGCCTAGCCATTTTCCAGCCTTCACAACCTTGCTGCTACTTTCCTGATCTGGGTCCTCCTCCCAGATCTTGCAGTAGCTGGCCTCTTTGCCTCCCATTCCTCCTTTGATGCCAGAGGGATCCTCCTAAAGTATGCCTT